ATCATGCATATGGGCATAATTGCAGGCTGACCTCATCAGGGCAGCAAAGAGAAAAAGAGCCATTTCATGAACTTATACTGTAAGCTGAAAATCTATTTCAGTTTGATTGGCTAAGGAAAACAGAACGATTTCATGACCTTAAAATTCAAGATGTAGTATTAGGCTGGAAAAGAGGTATCAAAGTAGAAAGTTAATGGTGCTAAACTGATCCTGGCACTCATACGATTGAAAGGCTCGGTTGACGTTTTGCCTTCCAGCACGGCATGCACTCACTCCCAACAGGAACGATGAGAAGGGCTTAAAGAAATAAACTGTAGTGTTCAATGACCAATCCCTTTGGATGTGTACAGCGACAACCTTAACAAAGACAGAAAATATGCCACATCCTTGTTGGGAGAAGATTTAGGAAAGACAGTGCGAGACATCTGCTATGAATGCTTACCTTGCTTATTGGGTAATCTGTCCCTGATTGTTGGGTGTGGTCGAGTTGGTTCCAACTCATGGCGACCCTATGTACACCAGAACCAAACACGGCCCAGTCCTGCACCATTCTCACTATCATTGCTACGTTTGAACCCACTGTTGCAGCCACTGTCACTCCATCTCGTTGAGGCTCTTGCTCTTTTTTGTTGACCCTTTACTTTATCAAGCACAATATCTTTTTCCAGGGACTGGTCCCTCCTGATAACATGTTCAACTTATGTGAGATAACGTCTTGCCATCTTAGCTCCTAAGGAGCATTCTGGCTGTACTTCTTCTCAGATAGATTTGTTTGTTTTTCTGGCAGTCCATGGTATATTCAATCTTCTTCGCCAACAACATAATTCAAAGGCATCAATTCTTCTTTAGTCTTCCTTATTCACTGTCCAGCTTTCACATGCATATGAGGCAACTGAAAATACCATGGCTTGGGTAAGGCACACCTTAGTCCTCATACGACTAAGAACTCCCTTTGCAAAGCATCTCATGTGACTAGTGTTCCTCAAGACATACTTTGGAAAACACAGTTTTAAAAGAATAATGCAAACACACACACACACACACACACACACACACACACACCCCACAATGAATTCCTTTCTATTAAAGTCTTGGGAGGAAAAAAATAGGGAAGAATAGGTTTGTCCATTGGCAGGTCCATTTTTGTAAACACAGAACCAGAAAAGCAAGATAAGCCCTTTGTTCCTGATAATTGGGCTTCTCCTACTGAGCAAGAATTCCTCCCCCAAAAATTCTGTTTTATTTAAGGTCTGGGCCATTAGAGGGCTCTGTAGCCCTGATGGATTTCTGTTTTCAACTCCAGGACACACTCAGGAGAGAATCTCCACTGTGATTCTGCTTGGCGTGTGAGTCACACAACCCCGAGAGATGGGATACATGTCACTCACACATTCTGAGCTTATGGGTGAGATTAACACAAATGATTTTCTTCCCCATGAAGCACAAGATAAAAATAACAAACTGGGGACATAAACCTATCTTTTAAATGTGGGATGATATATTCAGAAAAAAAATTAAATATTAACAAAAAGGAAATGAATCACTCCATAGTATTTTGAATATACGTATCAGGGAGAAAACTTGTTCGGATACATCTCAATTCTCTAGTTTTCAATGCCCTGCTTCCTTGCAGCAGGTACCCCATTTTCTCCCAGTATTTGTATTTATCCTCTTTTATCTATATACCTGTGCACTGCCGAAAAACTATTATCCAGATGAGACAATCCCTTCATTTGAAATACGTAGCTTGTCGTTGACATATAATCTGATCTGCATATCTAGTATTATAAACACACGTGCCTACGTGCATATGTCCAACAGTAATAAGTATGGGGCATTTTAAGTCACACTATTTTTACATGGAGGAGTTTTAAATGATCAGTCATGGCATATATTTGACTGAGCTGCATATTTCCCTGGAAGAAATTTCATTCACTTTGGTACTTTGTTAATAGCCAAATATTCGTACCACATAGGATCCTAATGGCCTAAAACAGTGGTTCTCATAGTGTGATCCTGAGACCAGCACCACCAGCATCTCCCAGGAGCTTATTAGAAATGTAGATTCTCAGGCCCCACCCCCAGACCCACTGAATCAGACACTCTGCTGGGTGGGGCCCAAGAGGGCCGAGGGAACACAAAATGGCTATGTCTATATCTACAGAGGAACAAGCAACTAATAAACCTGCCAAGCACTTTCAGGAAAAAGCGGTATCTGTGTGTTTTTAAACAAAGCAAAGTTATATCACCCAATAAGCCAGAAAGTAGACTGAAATAGAATCCCCTGCTTTATGTCCTCTCTTGACATGGGACGAATTATCATTTAGTCAACAAAAATGCTTCAAGTCAAGCACTATGGTCTGGCTGTTAGAGCCACACTGCTTCTTAGATTTAGAAAAATGATGGCAACCCCCGTCTGCCTCCTCCCCAAATTAAAAGAACACAATATAAACAAAGCTGAGCCTCCAAAATGTACCCCATAATGTCTCAGGTGATTAAAACCAGTTGCCATCAAGTTGATTCCAACTCATGACAACCCCATGTGTGTTCGAGTAGAACAATGCTCCGTAGGATTTTCAATGGCTGATTTTTCAGAAGTAGACTGCCAGGTCTTTCTTCCAAGACACCTCTGGGTGGACTCAAACCTCCAAACTTTCGGTTAGCCAACTGCTAACCATTTGCACCACTCACGTGGCAGACTGATTGGCACAGCACAGTAGCCAGTAAGTTCTTAAAGGTCTTAAAGGGGAGAGTGGCTTCTCTCCGCTTCCCAACAGTCTTTGAGTCATGCATAAAACACTAGCCAAGCTGACGCAGGTGAGTGTCCCAGCTCAGAGCAGGAGCCACAGCCAGAACGTTTGCATTTTGAAATGTGCTTCCTCCTCTCTCCCACAACTCTTCACTTTCCTCATCACCCTCACTCAACAATGCCAGCAAAAGTTAATCTTATAGAAGTACTTAGCGGTTTCTCCTGATGTTTATAATTTTAAGAAGTGCTTTAATTATTTTTTTTTTTTTTTTTTTGCCCCTACCATGAGAGACCCTTATCTGTGAACCAACAAACTCCAAAAAAAAACTTTAAGAGAAAGAACACTTCTGAAGCCCACGCTTGCTTCAGACCTCTTCTATGTGTCATGTTTTCTCTACCTCAGTTGCCTGGTCTACCAAATGAAGCTGTCCTCAGCTAAGTCCACAAGGCATACAAGTGGGCAAGTGCTCCATCTGAGATGGAATCTAGAGGGTGCTCTTGCAGAGTCAGGTGAAAGCAACCTGAGTAAGGGTGTTATCACTGCAAACCACTCTCCATTTGAGAGTTGATGTAGCAAAAAAGAGAATGAAGTTGGTAGCAGCAGGTACAAAGGACAGCACACCTGGAGATTCAAACTGCTCAGGTCTGGTGCCAGGGCAACTGGCAGAAGTGAGGTAAGATTGTTTGGCTCCAAGACAGCGATCTTTGGCAGCATCCGAGCATGTCCAGACCTATAATTTACCTATTCACTGAAAAACATGCAATTCTCCCTCTTCAAAAGGAGCTGCTAAATCATTGGAAGCCCTAGTTAGCTAAATTCAGCATGTCATACAGATAACAGAAGAGGGAAAACAATGGCTAAAAGCATTGTGCTTGTTGATAAATGTCTCCAAAAGGGATGAGGAATTGTGACTTGCAGCTGCATTACACCTGAGCTTTTATTTATGAGCTCCTCTTATTGACACATTAGCAATAATTGATATTGATGTGCTATCAGTGGGATGTGATTGTAATTGTGATATTGCATATAGTGTTGTTATTGATGTGTTCAGTATAACAGTATTGCGTTAACACCCCTTATAAAATATAAATACTATTTCTAACCCTGAGAACAGTAGTGGGAAGTATCATCAGCGTGACTGCAGTGGGGACTTTTACTCTTAAAACAAAGACATGGCTTAAATGACATCAGGGCTGCTCTGGAAGTCAAGAAGCAACGAGATAACCAAGCCTCTAGCAGAGACAATTTTGTAGGTGTCCCATGGGTATCTTCAAAAGCAGTGGGAACTTTGACTTTTCCATTGGCTGAATCACGTAAATGGGTATGACCCTGCTGAAAGGCAAAAGCCATAAAAAATTTTGACTTAGTTTCATTTCAGTCTCCTAGTCTCCTATAGGAGTCCCTGGGTGGCATAAACAGTTAAGCACTGGGCTGCTAACTGAAAGGCTGGAGATTCAAATCCACTCAGAGGTGCCTTGGAGGAAAGGCTTGGCCATCTACTTCCCAAAGATCACAGCTACTGAAAACACTGTGGAGCACAGTTCTACTCTGACACACGAGGTCCCCATGAGTAGGAATCAACTTGACAATAACTCTTTTTTTTAGTTCTCCTATAAGGAATACATAATAAAGAGATAACTGAAGGTGCAAACATGAATTCCTATATAAAGATGCTCACTGAGGTGCTAGTGAAGAAAGAGAACAATTGGAAGTAATGTGTGCCCAACAATCAGGAGTTGGTGACATAAATTCTGTCTGGTCCATGCATCTGGTAGAATACTATGGCTAAACTTTTTTTTTTTTTTTTTTGCCAAGAAAATATCATGACATGAAAAAAATGCTTGATAAAATTAAGCAGAAAAGCCAGGAATACATAACAAAAATCTACATATACCCAGGAAAAAAAAAAAAAAACAGATCAAAATACATTAGTGGTTATGTCAGAGTGGTATCATTTGTGTGATTATTAAAATTCTTCATTTTACACTTTTCAGTATTTTCCCAATTTTCTGCAATAGGTATGGACTACTCTTGATAATCAGAAAGAAAAAAAAAAGTAAGAGTATTTTTAAATACCATACGTCTCTCACTTGAGAATGATTTAGACATACCAGGTAATTAAAACAAACCTAAGTGGCAATTGAAATTATATTGTTCGCTCCATCGTTTGTCACTTCTCTAGAGCTGACCTTTTAATGTCCTTCCTCTTTGGCACTTTCATGCACACCCCAGCTCCAGACAGGTACTGACCTGGGAAGGCGTAGTCACACTGATTTCTGGAACAAAGTTATCCTCGAAGAAGTTGATGATGTTTTCCTGCTGCAGTTCCTTTGTTGGGGTGACTTTAGGCAGAGGTGGGACAGGAGGCCCCTTCCTTGTCTAGGAAGCATTAAACACAAGCAAACCGCAGTTAATTCAGCCCAAGACGACGTGTGAGACATGCAGAAATGTCACATGAACAGAGCCAGGCAGACAGATTGGTCACTGGTTGCAATTTAAATCTGCATGTAGAAATAAGCCTACCTGAGTCAGGTAAAGAATACTGTCTACTTGTCTGATACCCTGAGCACTGACAAAAAATGGTCCAATGAGAAAAACTCCGGCTGTAAGACTCCATTCATCTCCACACAAGCGCTATCCATGGGCCTCAGGACTAGCTACCTTTAAGGTTAAACTAAGGCAATACCTTCCCTGAAGTAAACTGAAAATGATTTCTCACTTCAGCAATAAATTAGAATTTCAAAACTAAAATCAAGCCAGCTTCTCATCTGAATCAGTGAGACCAACTACAGGCAGCAACCATTTCACCTTCCTCTCCAATATTTTGAAAAGTAAGAACTTCCGAGGCCATCTATTGCACGTATCTTCTCAAGACTTTCTTCAGTTTCACTACACACAACAAAGCTTGAACTAGACTAAGGACTGCAGGTTTTCCTACAGGAATTGCATTTTGACCCAAAGCAGGAAAGGTAAGGGTAGCAATTGGTCTCTCTACTTATCTTCGCTTGGCCCTTAGTGTTTCTTTCAACATTTACTCCACATACTTTTACTGAATGGCTACTCATGTGCAATATACTGTGGGTGATATAAAAGATGCACAATGATATATAAATATAACTGCTTTTATTGGCAGTACTTGCCCTAATATAACATGCTAGAGGAAGAAAGGTTGCGTGGAGAAGGCAGAATTAAGTGGAACCTTGAAAGAAAGGATCTGAGCACGTGAGTTGGGAGAAGAGGAAAGCACTCTAGCCTGAGCATCCTAAGAACACAGTAAGAAGTCCCAGCAGACTCAAGCATAGGGTGTGTGAAGAAATATAAAAGTGAAGTAGGAAAAATAAGTTGATTCCTAGGAACTATCACAATGCCTATAGCCTCACATATCCCATCTCCCCAGTTGGAAACTCCTCTTAGTGCCCCAGCACCATGGACTATCCCAGATGGGATAGTCTCACCTTGAGTTCTTCTGTTGCCCTATATACTTGATCTCTTCCTACCTGTGAAGGTGACCTAGGCCGCACTGGTGCAGGAGACGCAGGTGCTAGCGTATGATTCGGACTAGCTACCGGGCTCGAAACGGGTGAAGGCTCCTCGGGTGGAGAGGGCGTCTTTGCAATGCGGAGAGGACCTGAATCGCTGGATGAACACATGGTGATTAAGCAAGAGGCCTTCTGAAAAACAGTACTCATTTGATCAGGGGTTCTCTATCCAGAGAAATCCTGAAGCATGACATGTCCTATTTGGTATCCTACTCCCCCATTCCAGATTAATTCTGGTTATTATTAACCACGATGGTGATAATTCATACCATTTATTGTCCACTGTATCCCATACCCCATTCATATATTATCTCTAATCTTCACAATAGCCATATTGTCCCCATTCTACCAACAGATGAAGCGGTGCATAGAGAGGTTTCTGGGTTCTACTGAAGGGGACATAAGAAACCAGAATTTAAAGGACAAGAATGGAAAGATATAACTTCAGGAAGCTGAATTAATAAATGCTAGCCTAACAATATGCAAGTGACTATGGTGCTTTGACAAGAAGCCCTAGTGGTGCAGTGGTTAAGCACTCAGCTGCTAACCTGAAGGTTGACAGTTCAAACCCACCAGCTGCTGGGTAGGAGACAGATGTGGCACTCTGCTTCCATAAAGATTACATCTTTGGAGGGAAAATGCAGAAGAGAATTTCAAATTCTCATGGACTCCAGACTTTCTAGAGCCACAGAGGCTGGATGAACCCCTGAAACTATTACCCTGAGATAATCTTTAAACCTTAAGCCAAAACTATCCCCTGAAGTCTTCTTAAAACCAAACAGTAGTTTAGCTTAACTAGTAAACAGATGTCTGCCTTGAGCAGTATGCTTTTTTAAGAACTATATATGTGGGATCAAACTGACAACAGCAACTTGAAAGATTAGACAGGAAACTTAGAGGGTAACGAATTTATGTTAATGGGGGAGGAACAACTCAGAAAAGGAAGGTGAGAAAGACTGCACAACTCAGAGAATGTAATCAGTGTCACTGAATTGTAAATATAAAAATTTTCCAACTGGTGTGTGTTTCGATGTGTGTATTCTTAACAACAACAACAAAATAAATTTTTTTAAAAAAGCCCAAAGGCAACACAGCAACACAGTGGATCTGAATTCAGGTCAGACTAGTAAAAACCTCCTGTCCTTTCCGCTATGCCAAATGGGCTCTTCCAGAATCCTCCAAGCACAAACTGAATTAGTGTAACTAATTTCAATTTGATTTACAAAAGAACCTTGGCATGTCATAATCTATTGAAAAGTCTACTTTAAAAATTTTACATTAAAAGGAATCCTTAGGATGGTGTTAATTTTGTAGGCCTTCTTTCTGATAACATTGGAAAATAAACAAATTCATTATTTGTCTTTCCACACCTTTCAATCCTGACAACTTGAAATGTGTAAACAAATTCTGTGATGAATGAGATTCAGTAACAGTTACTGAGAACCTACCACGTGCCCGGCACTGGACCAGATACTTGCGAACAGCCCAAACAGGATGACTAAGAATGACGCTCGTGGCACAGTCTACTCTCTAAGAATTTAAGTCTACAGCTTGAGGGAACAGGTCTGTACCCAAAATAAATGAGTGTGTACATGGCAGCATGACCTTCATATTCAAGAGGCCAGGGAACTGGGTCCTTTAAGGAGGATGTGCACACCGCATGACTGGGGCTTCGTGACAGCAACCATGGCCTCTGACGGGAAGCAAAGCCCCAGTCTATCAGTCCCTGTACACTTCAGTAGGGATCCCACTGAGCTCAGAGCTCACTTACCACCTCGTTCTGCAAAGGAATGTTGAAAAAAATGAATGTTAAGGGGTCATGGGCACACTTGCTCTTAATTTTATCTAATTCAGCAGCAATGGAATTTTAAGATACATTTGTCCCTTTCATTTCCATATACGGAAGCAACTCAACTTTTTTATGTACCTCATTTCTAAAACATCCCAAATAATCAGTTTGATATTCCCATTTCCATTATTTCTCTGTTCCTAACCCAGTACTGAAATAACCATATGGAAGAATATAGCTCTATTTCTTTTGTGTGTTCTTTCAGGCAACGCGGTTTCCCTTAGAAAGAGAAGATACACTTAATGCTCACACAGAACAGCAGCTGCGGCAGAGTTTATGCGTACAGCTAATCCAAAAAGCAGGGAATAAGAAAATTATCTATCTCCAGGAGAACTCTAGCACTAACACACACAGATTTTGATGCACATGTATGAGGAGTGTGTGTTTTCCCAAATGTGTGTATGGACAATTAGACATCACAAATGAGTATTTGCTTTTGATTGATGTTAAAATTGCAAATATAGAATGTGGGAATTTGTGTATTACCTTAGAGGCTGCTTAGTTTAGTAGCATCTATTCTTCCTATACATATGTTATTAAATGAGACCTTTAACCAGAGAGGGTTAGAAGATTGCTCAAGGAAGGCAAAGCCAGTTAACTGCAGAGTTATAGCACTGAAAGCTAGTCTTCTGACCTCCAGCCCCAGGCTCACCAACCTGCATTCCCTGAGTAGGTAGTGCCTGGGAAGGATGGAATAAAAGGGATTCCAAAATCACAGGAGAAAGCTGGGGTGAAGCTGAGCGCTGTGAGGTAGACAATTCATCTATGGATCACTGAGCCTTTGGTATACTTGACTGACAGAGTCAAACCAACAATGACAATAAAACAAAACCAACACCTGTCAAGAGTTAGGAGGCAAGATTATGACGAGGTCTCACCTCTCTTTCCTTTCCCAAAATGGATTCATCAAGGATGTCAGCCCCAGTGATACGTATTAGAACAAACTGTCATGGATTTTGGGAGTTCCTTTCTTCTCCAAAGAAAGTAGCAAGTGCACAACTGTTGTTGTTGTTGTTATTAGCTGCTGTGGAATGGGCCCTTGACTCATGGTGACCCCATGCACAACAGGATCGAACCATTGTGATCCATAGGATTTTCATTAGCTGATTTTTTGGAAGTAGATTGCCAGGCCTTTCTTCCTAGTCCATCTTAGTCTGGAAGCTCCACTGAAACCCGTTCAGCATCACAGTAACACAAAAGTTTCCAGATGGGTGATAGCTGCACATGAGGTGCACTGGCCAGAAATCGAACCCAGGTCCCCTGCATGGAAGGCGAGAATTCTGCCACTGAACCACCACTGTCCCTTAAAGTGCACAGCTAGACATTATATATTACAATTTCACACCAGTCCTGTCGAGATCCACGTAAAGCAGGGAGAGGCAGATGGTCAGCCAATTCTATTGTGACAACGAAGAGTCCTCGTTGGATGACTCTAAAGGCCCAAACTAAATGCAAAAGCACAGAAGTAAGGCTGCTGTCAGATGTCTAGATGAAAAACCTCCTTTTAGAGTTTCATAAAACCAAAAAATCAAACCCGTTGCCGTTGAGTCGATTTCAACACTTAGCGACCCTATAGGACAGAGTAGAAGTGCTCCACAGGGTTTCCAAGGAGCAGCTGGTGGATCTGAACTACCCATCTTTCAGTTAGCAGCCGAGCTCTTAACCACTATGCCACCAGGGTTAAAATTGTATAGGCTGGTACACAGGCTAGCAAAAGTTCAATAAGCAGCACATAAAAGGTGCCTGGGAAGAACTTGGCTCTGATGAGCAGAGGCCTACCTGGGGGCTCCTTGAATGGAGAAGGCCTTGTCGGCATGCTGATCTCCCAGTTTCGTCATCACTTCGTACAGTTTGTGGCAGAGCTATGGGAACAGAGGCAACCTATGAACTGCAAGTCATTCTGGTGCCAATTCAGGCTATTCTCCCCAAGAAAGAGAAACTAACAATCTTATGATAGTATGAGTGGTTTCAGGACAATTTAAATTCTGTATATGGTCCAGGTTAAAAAGTCAAACCCAAATCGAAAGGCAACAAATACAAAATAAACTGAAAAGGAATCAAAACATACATCAAAAAAAATAAAAGAAGTTGCCACCAAGTTGATTCTGATACATGGGAACCCCATGTGATTCTGAACTGAACTGTAATACACAGGGTTTTTAATGGCTGATTTTTTGGAAGTAGAAAGCCAGGCCTTTCTTCCAAAGCAGCTGTTGGTGGACTTGAACCCCCAACCATTCCTTTAGCACCTGAGTGTGTTAACCATTTGCACCACCCTGGGGCTCAACCACAGTACAGAACAGAAAACAAAAGCTTTGCTTACATTGACTCTACCAAAGATAAAGGTACAAAACCACCATGCTGAACTAAGAAAATACTAGTCTATGACAAAGCTGCTATTATCTGAATACTATGCAACAAATTTTTCATCTGCCTAAAGTATCACTTGAAATTCTAACTTTATAAACTGGAAAAACAAAAACTGAGATGGTGACAATGAAGGAAATAAGCTCAGAAGAGAAATAAAAGCAGGCAATGATTCATGAGAGTATTTTTGTATACCTGCAAATAAAATCTTCAAAAAATATAGAGAACTGTGTGGTCATTAAACAAAATATAGACATACCACTGAGAGAAATACACACTATTTAAAAAAAATATGCAAGAAGGGTGAATTCTTTGGCATAATGCTATGCATTTCATTTGCTTCCAGAATAAACGTTCATTAACTTCATATCCCATAAGTAAAAATAATCACCATTACTCACCACTGCAATTTCCTTATGGAATTTGGCCTCGAGGCTAGAGACATTTTTGAAAGTATTGACATAAAATCCAACTCGTCTACCATGTGGAAATACAAAGAGAAAAGAAGACAGAGGACAAAACAGTCAGCCAAAATGTATTTTTAATGGGAATGACATACATTAAAAATAGGTTTTCTTTATACAGCTATGAGCAACATTAGATTAAATAAAATATTTAACCCAAACATAGACATCCAGCTTTTCCTGGTATGTGAGTGAACTGAAAAACATCTTTCTGCATAGAGTATAACTGCTCCTCAAAATCAGCTACTGTCCTCAGACAGTCGTCCTCAAACTTTAGAATGCATCAGAACCACCTGGGGGGCTTGTTTTTGATTTCTTGGGCCTGGGTTGGGGACCTAAGAGAATGTGCATTTCTAACAAGCTTCTAGGTGATGCTGATGTTCCTGGTCCAGGAGCCACACTTTCAGAACCAGTGCCCTAAGAATTCAAGTCTGGATTCTAGATCTGCATCTTATAAAGGTTCTGAGACTGAGTTTATTATTAATTTTTATAAAATATAAATACTCTAGTTGCAGTATTATATATTTGGACTCTGAAATTTGTTTGATGGAGGAAAATACGAAACACAAATCAATCCCAATTCTTCCAAAAAAAAAAGTGAAAGCATGCTATCATTGAGCACAGTAAACAAATACGCTGCCTCATTCACAATATTTCTAACAAGTTTGTGAAGCAAAGCCATTGAGTGCTCTGTGCAAAGTCCCTGCAGTCTTCATTTTTAGGTCTTTAGTAGTAAGCAAGGAGCCCTGGTGACGCCATGATTAAGCACTCGGCTGCTAACGGAAAGGTCGGCAGTTTGAAACTACCAGCTGGTCTGTGGGAGAAAAGATCTGGCAATCTCCTCCTGTAAAGATTTCATCCTAGGAAATTCTATGGGGCAGTTCTATTCTCTCCGATGGAGTCACTGAGTCAGAAGTGACTCGACAGCACATAACAACAACAGTAGTGAGTACTCTGCCCCTTACCCCAGGTTCAAGCTCCCTCTGTCTCTAAATAAGGGAACTGTGGATTTTATATTAATGCAATCGCCCTGTAACCATGAATAAAATATGACTTTTTAATTTCACTCATGTTCTCGTTTCAATGATATTCTCAAAAATAACCCGAGTCCTGATTGGCAAGTGCACATTTCAAATCTCAATCAAAACCAAGTGAAGAGTTAGGAAACCAAAAAGATTCTAAAACCTAACCAAACCCATTGCTGTTGAGTCAATTCTGACTCACAGCAACCATATAGGACAGAGAAGAACTGCCCCACAGGGTTTTCAAGGAGCAGCTGGTGGATTCGAACTGCTGACCTTTTAGTTAGCAGCCAAACACTTAACCACTGTGCCACCAGGGCCCTACCAAAAATATTAGATACATATTAATATATGCAAAAAACATATATTCAGGAAATTTACACATGGGGTTGCCACGAGTCAGAACTGACTTGACAGCAACGGATTGTGTTTTAATAATATAGTTGGGAAATGACAATGTGCACAGTAGGTACTCATCTTTAAACAATGAGATAAAAGGACAGAAAAAAGGGGGCTTCTGGAATTTGAGCTGTGTCTTTTGATGAGAAGGAATCCAATGAGCAGAGATGAAGGAATGTCTCATCATCACAGCCAACAAAATGAACATCCTTCTAAGCACTTTTTAATATTACCTCATTTAATTTTCATAACTACCTTATTTAATTTTCACAACTATCCTCGATTTCATATACGTGAAAACCGAGGCACAGAGAGATTAACTGTCCAAGGTCATGCAGTTCTAAAGTGCATAACCAGCATTTGAACCCAAAATGAGGAAAATACAATAGACAAGCATGGACTGTATTGCAAGAAATGCTGCTTAAGTATAGTAAATATTGTTATTTAACTGGCACTAAGCTCTGTATTTGCAATGAAGAAGTCATTGGTCTTACAAACTTCTATCATGCAATCTCCAGCATCATTTCAACCAAGGCCATATTTTCCCACTACCGATCCTTCTTCTTTGTTTCCAACTTTTGCATTCCAATCACCAGTAATTATCAACGTACCCTGATTGCATGTTCGATCAATTTCAGACTGCAGAAATTGGTAAAAATCTTCAATTTCTTACTCTTTGGCCTTAGTGGTTGGAGTGTAAATTTGAATAATAGTCATATTAACTGGTCCTCCTTGTAGGCCTATGGATATTATCCTAACACTGACAGCATTGTACTTCAAGGTAGATCTTGAAATGTTCTTTTTGACGATGAATGCAATGCTATCCCTCTTCAAGTTGTCATTTCTGGCACAGTAGACCATATCATTCTCTAATTCAAAATGGCCAATACCAGTCCATTTCAGCTCACTAATGCCTAGGATATTGATGTTTATGCGTTCCACTTCATTTGTGACGATTTCCAATTTTCCTAGATTCATACTTCATACATTCTACATTCCAATTATTAATGGATGTTTGCAGCTGTTCCTTCTCGTTTTGCGTCATGTCACATCAGTAAATGAAGGTCCCGAAAGCTTGACTCCAACCAGGTCATTAAAGTCGATTCTACTTTGAGGAGGCAGCTCTTCCCCAGTCGTATTTTGAGTGCCTTCCAACCTGAGGGGCTCATCTTCTGGAACTGTATCACACAATGTTCCGCTGCTATTCATAAGGTTTTCACTGGCTAATTCTTTTCAGAAGTAGACCGCTGTGTCATTCTTCCTACTCTGTCTTAGTCTGGAAGCTCAGCTGAAACCTATCTGCCATTTGAATACCGGTGCATAGCTTCCAGCATCACAGCAACACGTAAGCGCTCACAGTACGACAAACTGACAGCTTTTGCAAGACCAATGACTTCTTCATTGCAAATACCTTTTTTCAACAACATAAACAACTATACACGTGGACCTCGCCAGATGGAATACATAGGAATCAGACAGACTACATCTGTGGGAAGAGACAATGGAAAAGCTCAGTATCATCAGTAAGAACAAGGCCAGGGGCCGACTGTGAAACAGGCCATCAATGGCTCATATGCAAGATCAAGTTGAAACTGAAGAAAATTATAAGTTCACGAAAGCCGAAGTATGACCTTGAGAATATCCCACCCGAATTTAGAGACCATCTAAAGAATAGATTTGATGCACCGAACACTAATGACTGAAGACCAGACGAGTAGTGGAATGACATCAAGGACATCATACATGAAGAAAGCAGGAGGTCATTAAAAAGAAAGGAAAGAAAGAAAAAAACAAAATGGATGTCAGAAGAGACTCTGAAACTTGCTCTTGAACATAGAGTAGCTAAAGCGAAACGAAGAGGTGATGAAGTAAAAGAGCTGAACATAAGATTTCAAAGGGTGGCTGGTAAAAACAAAGTCAAGTATTACAATGACATATGCAAGGAGTTGGAGACAGAAAACCAAGGGAAGAACATGCTCAGCATTTCTCAAACTGAAAGAACTGAAGAACAAATTCAAGCCTCGAGTTGCAATATTGAAGGATTCTACGGGGAAAATATTAAACGATGCAGGAAGCATCAAAAGATGGAAGGAATACGCACTCACTATACCAAAAAGAATTGGTCGATGATCAACAATTTCAGGAGGTAGCATATTATCAGGAACCAATGGTACTGAAGGAAGAGGTCCAAGCTGCACTGAAGGCATTGGTGAAAAACAAGGCTCCAGGAATTGACAGAGTAACATTTGAGATATTTCAGCAAATGGATGCAGCACTGGAGCTCACTCATCTATGCCAAGAAATTTGGAAGACAGCTACCTGGCCAACCACCGGGACGAGATCCATATTTACGTGCCTATTCCCAAGAAAGGTGATCCAACAGGAGGTGGAACTTATCGAATAATATCATATGCAAAAAAAATTTTGCTGAAGGTAATTCAAAAGCGACTACAGCAGTATGTCGACAGGGAACTGCCAGAAACTCAGGCCAGATTCAGAAGAGGATGTGGAACAAGGGATATCATTGCTGATGTCAGATGGATCATGGCTGAAAGTGAGAATAGCAGAAAGATGTTTACCTGTGTTTTACTGACTATGCAAACGCATTCAACTGTGTGGATCATAACAAATTATGCATAACATTGCGAAGAATGGGAATTCCAGAACACTTAATTGTGCTCATAAGGAAACTGTATATAGATCAAGAAGCAGTCATTCGAACAGAACAAGGGGATACTGTGTGGTTTAAAGTTAGGAAAGCTGTGCATCAAGGTTGTATTCTTTCACCATACTTATTCAATCTGTATGCTGAGCAAATAATCGGAGAAGCTGGACTATATGAAGAAGAACACGGCATCAGGATTGGAGGAAGACTCATTAACAACCTGCCATATGCAGATGACACAACCTTGCTTGCTGAAAGTGAAGAGGGCTTGAAGCACTTACTGATGAAGATCAAAGACCACAGCCTTCAGTATGGATTACACCTCAACATAAAGAAAACAAAAATCCTCACAACTGGACCAATAAGCAACAGCATGATAAATGGAGAAAAGACGGAAGTTGTCAAAGATTTCATTTTACTTGGGTCCACAATCAACACCCATGGAAGCAGCAGTCAAGAAATCAAAAGATGCACTGCATTGGGCAAATCTACTACAAAAGACCTCTTTAAAGTGTTGAAAAGCGAAGATGTCACCTTGAAGACTAAGGTGCGACTGACCCAAGCTATGGTGTTTTCAATAGCCTCATATGCATGTAAAAGCTGGACGATAAATAAGGAAGACTGAAGAAGAACTGAGGCCTTTGAGTTGTGGTGTTGGAGAAGAATACTGAATATGCCATGGACTGCAAAAAGAATGGACATACCTGTCTTAGAAGAAGAACGACCAGAATGCTCCTTAGAAGCAAGGATGGCAAGACTACATCTCACATACTTTGGACATGTTATCAGTAGGGATCAATCCCTGGAGAAGGACATCATGCTTGGTAAAGTAGAGGGTCAGCAAAAAAGAGGAAGACCCTCAATGAGATGGATTGACACAGTGGCTGCAACAATGAACTTAAGCATAACAAGGATTGTGAGGATCGC